CACTGTAGCAGAGGCATCTTCTATACTTCTTTTCTCTCATCCCCAAAGTCTGATTAATCAAAAAGTCCACTTAGGTCCATACCCTCTTCGCTTCACAATATGCCACAGTAAGCTTCTTGAGGGGGAGAACTTACGCTGCTGCCCGCGGCTTTGATGCTATTTCCCTTAAGAGAAACTAAACATCTTTTCATTTACAAACAGCTATTTTTAACTTGGCCCAACCTATCCTGACATTTCACTTACCACAAAAACACTCATCCTTAGCACCTTCCTGAAAAAACCCTGTTCTCTACATATTTGGGTCTTTGATTTCATTGTATTTTCTGAATAGGATACTCTTCCTTTTTCACTCATTCATTAATCAATAAAGATAAACACCTGCTGAATACCTTCTCTGTATCAGGCAGTGGCATGTGCCAAGGGATTGAATGGTGAACAAAGTAGACACAGTCTGTGCACACATGGAGCCTGCCCTCCTCTGACTGCACACCCCACCTTCCTTCCGGACTCAGCTCTCTTTACCTCATACACCCCTGCAATAAGCCCAGATTAAGCTAGTTGCACTGGCTTCTGGAAGACTTGGCCTCTGTGCATGCCTTTGTTGTGGTATTTATGTCACACGTTTATTTTAAGTTAATGTTCCTCACAAGACTGAGCTGCTTATAGTAGGGAGGAGGTCTTTTCATTAATAGACCGTCCTATAATGCCCAGGACAGTGTTGGCTGTCAAATCAACTTGAAGGGACTTAACCTAAAATTTAGGCACCATGCCAGAAAACTGGGTTTCTAAAGATGACCACAGAAAGTTACAGAGTATGAGGATATTCTTTCCAATTTTCATAACAGTTTTAAAGTCCATTGGTGGTGTATTCTTCCGTAATTTACCTGGTATACTGTTAATTTTCTATGTTTTAGAAAAATTACTTCTATCCCTAAAGATGATAATGTTTTCATAAGTATATATTCAATTCTTATCTTTAAAACCTGGATTGTATACTATAACTAATGGCTTAAAATGTATCTTTGTATTTGTTTTCTCTTGACATAGAAATCATTCTTTCCTTGAAGATTTCTGTAAATAATGAGAGGGTTCTCTTTTCCTTATTGAGTTGATGCTAATGCATTATAGCCTGAGGAAGGAACATATGCCCCACTCTCTTATTCCTAATGCCATGCTTACTTTAGGACTATTTCTATGCAGGATTATTTTTCTGGGGTCTTGAGGTATATTGTTTCCACAACCTAGTGTAATATTTTTATATTGATTTATTCTAGTGAAATGAATTCTATGGGATAGTTTACAAGAGTCTCCTTCCTTCCTTTGATAACTGGAATGGCTACAACAACTTTCCCATCTGATTTGGCAATAGCAACTCATGAATTCGGCACTGAATTTTTTGGTGGCAATGGGGATGCTAAAGATAACTGGATTGTAATTACATGAATAGGAGTTGCTCTAAGTTCATAAACTGGAAGAAATGAGGATGCTCTTAATGAAAATCAGGCTATCAGGCAAGCAAGATTTTAATTAAAAAAATGAAACACTATTCTGAAACTGAAATTCTATTTCTTTAAGCTACATATGCTAAATGCCACCACCAAGGACTTAGTAAAAGATGAAAATAATGATGTTAATTTTCAAAGCATAAAATGTTTTCTATTAGGATGTTGATTTGGGTCTATCTATGAAAGACTTATCAGCTATTACACTGTGAGCTTCTGGTCCAAGATGGCAGTGTAGGAAGAGGCTGAACTCACCTCCTTCCAGGAATACATCAAATTTACACAGAGACAGAGCAATTCCCCTGAAGACCTGAGAGCTGATTGAACAGCTTCTGCACAACAAACAAGAAAGAGCTCACAGATACATGTAGGAGAGCTGGAGACACTGCAATGTGGACACTCCACCCAACACACTGCCCTGTAGTCCAGAGGGACCCTGGAAGGTTCCCACACAGACTTGCCTTCCCTGGGGCACAGCAGAAAAACCCCCACAGTGGTTTAAAGGACACGTAGGCTATGCAGGGAGGAAATCCATTTACTAACCCTAGAGCATCTGTCAAGTGGGAGGGGAGCTGCTGGAACTCTCTCTGCAGTTGGAAGGCACCAGAGTGGCATTTGTGGCCCTCCCATTCCCCCTTAATCACAAGGGCAGGAGCTTGATCCAGGTGCTCTAGCTGCAGGCCCATTCCATTCCAGTGCCCTCAGCCCCCAGAAGATCTGCTGCTTATCCCCCAGATCTCCCTGCAGCTTGCTTCAGTTCCAAGTTCCAGCCTGCCTGCCAAGGTTGCCTAGGCTGCTTGCCCCCAGGAGCCCTCAGCTTCCCACCCACCCTAGCTACTGCTACTCCTCAAGGTGTGGCTTGTCCCAGGGTGCCCTGTGGCTTGCTCTAGCTCTAGCTCCCAACAGGAGCAACTTCTACCTGGGACTCTCCTCAGCTTCTCACCTGCCCTAATGATAGCTCCTGTGTAGTTTATCCCCAGGACTTCCAGTAGACACGCCCACTCCAGCTCCAGGCCACAGTGTAGCTTTGCCTACAAGACTACCTGAAGCCTGAGCCTACTCTAGCTACAACTCCAGTTGGCCTGCCAAGGCATCCCATGCAACTTGTCCCCTGGACTTCCCTTGGCCCATGACCATTCCAGCTCCAGCTCCAGGCCCAAGTGAAGCTTGCCCCCCAATTTCTTTTGGCCCAGAAATGCTCCAAGTACAGCTGGTCTGCCAAAGATGCCTGGCTTGTGCAGTCTACAAAGGGGTAGGTCCTACACAAGGCTACTCCTTCAAGGCCTAGAGAGATTGCTGTTTTACTTAATTCATGGAAACAAACACAGACAGGTACCCTAAATGAGCAGAGAAATATGTTCCAAATGAAAGAGCAGGACAAAAGCCCCAAAAAAGAACTAAGTGAAATAGAGACAAAAACATCTATCAAATAAAGGGTTCAAAACACGAATTATAAGGATGTCCAATGAATTCCGGAGAATAGATGAACTCAGTGAAAACTTTAAGAAAGAGACAGAAACCATAAAAAATAACCAGTCAGAAATGAAGAATAAAGTAACTGAAATGAAAAATACACTAGAAGGAACCAGCAGCAGATAAGTTGATGCAGGTGAGTCAGTGATCTGGAAGACAAAGAATTGAGAATCACCCAATCAGAACAGCAGAAAGAAAAAATAATTTTAAAAAATGAGCATACTTTAAGGGACCTCTGGGACAATATCAAGTGTACTGACAATGGAATCACAGGAGTACCAGAAGGAGAAGAGAGAAAAAAGGGACAGGAAGCCTATTTGAAGAAATAATGGCTGAAAACTTCCCCAACCTGGTGAAAGAAACAGACATCCAGGTCCAGGAGGTGCAGAGTCCCAAACAAGATGAATCCAAAGAGAGCCACGCCAAGACACCTCATAATAAAAATGCCAAAACTTAAATCAATAAGGATTTTCTTTTAACATCAAAGCTGGAAACAAGCAGAAATAAATAAACTTAGCTATATATCAAATGGTGACAATCATATCAAAGAAAAATGGAAAATAATCCAAGTAACTTAGCTACATTACTTTCACTACCATAAGTCTAAAAATAAAAGGATCAAAAGAATTGCAAAGAAAATTTAAATTTGACTTAATGGGTTAGTAAGTTTATTGTTAATAGTGGTGTGTGTGTGTAGCAATTCTGAAGCAATATTATGTGTATTGTAGAATTGAGCAAATATATTGATCTTGTTGGGATCCAGGCTTCTCAGAGTAAGAGAAAGGAGTTACAAATATGAAATTGTGAAAGGCAAGAATGATATGAAATGGCTATTTTACCCAGTCTGTCCACTGAAAGGACATCAGCAATGGCACTTCAGTAGCAGTGAGCACACCCAGTTTCCAGATCTTGGGTTCTAATATCACAACCCACTAAAAAGAACCAGAAGCCCTTAGCAAAATGGCTGAGTCCAGGTCTGGGGCTGGGAGAATAAGCTTGGACCATTTTGTGCGGAAGTCAGAATGACGGGCACAGTAGCCAGCTTGAAGAAGCTCCCACTGACCAAATCTAGGAGAGTCTGAGCATCAAAATACATAATGATAGTAATAGATTATAACCCATTGAATAAAATAAAAATCCATGGATCCATATTGACAGAAATAAATAATAAATAAGAGAGATGGAAAGGCCCTTTTGGTAAAATGTTAACTAATAAATGCAGGAGTAACAGTATTAAAAAATCGCTATTTGGCAATCATTATAGTAATTTGATTCAGGTAAGAGTCATCAATTACTCTAAGGAACAGGATAGTCACATAGCTTCAAATAATCTCCCCATGGGTTAGTTATTAATTACAAAGAGGAAAACTGTAAACCCGGAGAGCATGTCCAGGACTTTTATTTATCAAAGTTAACATCACTAATATGGAAACAAGTTAAAATTGCCTGCCACCTAATAGGATCAATGAGAAGAAACAGCATTACTTCTGGGGTATTCCTGCCACCCAAGCATAACCTGAATCTAATGAAATATCAAATGAACCTCAATCACGGGTCATTCTGCAGAGTAACTGGCCCCATCTCTTCAAAATGTCAAAGTGGAGAAGGGCAAAGAAGATGGATGGCGACTGATACAGGTGAAGGAGGACTGGAGAGAAATGACAACTGAAACTCAACACGTGATCTTAGATCCTGAAAAATTCTTACCACCGAACACAAGTAGGACAATGGGGGACATCTGAATAAAGTCTGTGGATTCGATAACAGTGTTTTATCAATGTTAATTTCCTGATTTTGACATTTGCATGGTGGCTAGGTAAGAGAATGACCTTGATTTTAAGAACTATATACTGAAATATTTAGAGGTTAAGAAAAAGAGAACCATTAGACTGTGGTTTGACTTAGGCTAGCAAAGTAATTTATAAATAAGGAAGCAAGTAAGTTTTTAAAATGTATACATATCTAACTACAGCTCTGATACAATTTCATATGTAATTATTTAGAAAAAAATCAAATTTAATGTACCTTTTCCATCTTTTTTGAAGTTTTCTCTGCATCATTACTGTGTCTGAAAAATAAATTGACCCAGTTTATAATATTATTAAAATGTAATTTGAAAAATCGTAATAAAAATGTCAATTTTCTTTACCCTGGAACTGGTTTTGTTTTCTCTTTCTTCTCATCTGTTTCATGTTCGTCAACACATTCTGCAAAACATTAAATACAAGAAAAATAATTTAAATGAAGGGTTATCATTGTGTGTGTGTGTGTGTGTGTGCATGTGTGTGTATGTGTGATAGAAGCATTACTAGAAACTAAAAACAAACAAATTCACCTCTACTGGCATAATATCTTAACAACATATTTTATAACCATAATTATCCCCTAAGATTTTTCACTGCATCGGAACAGTTTACTAGAGGCATAAATAATTATAGTAAAATGAGATACTTGTTCCAAATAGAATGTAGGAATTAAAGATTCCCAATATTATGCAAGAAGATAATTTCAGTACAAAAGAGTAACCTGGAGGTCTACTGATAAAGACATGAGAGAGAGTTCCATCAGACTGGCTACAGAATGGAAAAGCATTCTTCCTTTTTTGCTAGAAACTGTAAATTCAATCATTAATTAAGGTAAATATTGAGGTAATGTAATTCCCTTGTATAAATATTGGGAAATATAGAAAGAGGAAGGTTAAATTCACATCATGCACGTGTGCAAGTTAATTAAAAATATAACCCAGAATTCTTGAGTTTATGCCTATTGCCCATATAGTCCCCCTGTGGCCGTATCTACATGTGATACCTTCTATTTCCAGTCCATGATTGGTTGATCCACTCAAATTAGCCATCTGAGTGTCCTGGACCTGTGCTTCAGCACTGATGATCTGTTGTGACACAGCTTCCACGATGGGCATCACCATGGCAGCAGTTGAGGTGTTGCTAAGCCACATAGATAAGAAGGCGGTACTGCTCATGAATCCCAGTGTCAGCCTGAAATGAGAGGAATTTTAGTATGAGCTGTGCTCCTAGCTTAACTAACTATATTACTTAACTGTAAAAGATGCTGCTTATGAGTTGGGAATTCATTTTTTTCAAAACATTGATGGTTAGGTTTCCCCCCAGACAACAAACTCTGAAGAGAGTCACAGCCAGGAGAAATCAAAGTGGCAGAGGTAAGAGTGGAGTTCTTGTAAGATTTATCTTGCAGGAAACCATAAAAGTCTTCTCTCTCATAACAGAATAACAACTAAACATATAACCAGCCTGCAAGTTGCTAGAGGGTATAACAGCTTCTATTACTATGCCAATATTTGAATGTCCTTTACAGGTGACACTTTCCTTCAAATCATAGTAAAATAAGGTACAACCACTTTTCAATTTAGGATCCTCTATTATTATTATTATTTTTTAATCCTTACCTGAGGATATTTTTCCCATTGCTTTTCAGAGAGAGTGGAAAGGAGAGAGAGAGAGAAACATTGATTGGCTGCCTCCCACACGTGCCCCTACTGACCACCGAGCCAAACCTGCAACCGAGGTACGTGCCCTTGGTGGGAATCACACCCAGGACCCTTCAGTCTGCAGGCCCATGCTCTAATCACTGAGCCAAAGTGGATAGGGCAAGGATCCCTTATTCTTTCTTTTATCTTTTGGTCATATCTCTGTTTAATAGGATGTTGCCAAGAAGACATAAGGGCAAGGAGAGAGATCAATTTTTATAAATCTGCCTTTTACTTTTTCACTGTTTGGGTTTATACGTGGTGGGTGGAGGAAATGGTTAAAATCAATGGCTAGAATGCAGTTCAGAATTTTCTGTAGATTCTATTACTCAGCTCTTCTGAATGTGACATTCCTGCGTGTGGTCAAGAACTGGATATATTATATCATCTTTTATACATAGAGTGGTTCTTCCCCTTAATAATAACATACCTAAAGCTACAGGATTTTAAGCCATGTCTATAAGCTTTCAAAATCACACTTGGGATAAAATATGATCTCTTTTGAGTAGGAGGTTCCAGAAAATCATTCAGAAGCACATCTTTCCATATAGAGCCATTTGTTAAGTTCTCTGACTCCATTTAAAAATATATCTACAAGAAAAATTTTACACTATATGTTTCAACTTCAGATAAGGTGATTATTTTCTATGTGTAACACAAAACAAAAGAAAGCTTTTTAGAAACCTGCTTAAACAAGAAATGATTCATTAAAAAAAGAGGTATAAGGGATGATAAATGGTGATGGACAGGAGACTTGACTTGGGGGGTGAGCACACAATACAAAATACAGATGATGTACTATGTATTATAGAATTGTACACCTGAAACCTATAGAATTTTATTATTAATTTTATATCATTCAAATAAATTCAATTTTTTAAAAAAAGGAAAGCTAGAAATGCTTTTAACAATGCATTGGCAAGATACAAAATCTTCCAATAAAAAATGGTTGAGATCAGATAAGGTTTCTGTGTGATAAAAATGCCTTAAATTGAAAAGCCATTTAGTGGCATAATAGACAGTGCCCCACTGTGCAATGCACTCCTGCATCCCCTGGGGTCAGTGAGCAGATGGTCAAGGAAAAGAGACACATTTCTGTAGCACCCCAAGAAGCATGGAACACCATCTCACTCTTAAACAAGTGAAATGTCCTTAATACATATATGTTATAAAATTTTTAAGTAAATATTTTTAAACCTTTGTCTCATCTGAGTTATTTTTTTTTGTATTTAACAAAACAATTTGTTCCATAAATGATAAACACAGATGTGGTTATACCCTAGAATGAATTATGCAACAGAATTCAATACAATTTTCTCATTTTCAAAGAAAGATGAGAAGGGAACAACCACCTAAGGCTTTAAAGCATAATTCCATTATGCAAATGATTTTGACACTGGAAAGGTTTTTTGGCTTACATCTACATTCTTAAGAGCTGGAATTAAAACTCAAGTAGCCAATTAATTTAATGGGGGGGGGGAATCATTTTGGTTGGGAAAATCAGTCAAGTGAGTGATTTCACATCCTATAGATGACGTTTCTTAATTGATTATTTCACTTTGCAGCAGTTCATTTAAAATGAAAAATGCTCACCTTGGAACTTTTCTGCACATATTTGTATTTTGTCAATAATCTCTTTGTCTTTGGTTCCTAACATCCTCCCTGTGATTAAAGATGCTCTTGAACAAATATTGAAAGTGTAATGAGACAAATCAACAAAATTTTATAAAATCTACTGTGAAGTCTATTAATCTTGTGTGTTGAGGTTCAAGGTTTCTCTCAGCTTTGATTTCTACAGTGCATAAAAGGTAAGAGAGTTGTGTGCAATCTTGCTGTATTTAGGCCTTCATGGAAAGGAAAGTTCTTTTTCTCCTCCTACAAGTCAAGTGCACTTTATATCACTTTCATATTTTCAGAGAAAATAAAGTCATGAATTATGCTGCAATGCAAATTATTGCCTAGCTATGCATTACTTTTTTGCTTATTTGCTCTGCACAAAAATGATCTGTTTGGAATGTTAACCTGGAACAGTAAATGCAGTGCTTACCATGCTGGGTTCACACCCACCATCAGCACCATTTTCAGAGCAATCCTTTTGTGCAAATTCCATTTTTCTATTGATGTTGCTAAACAGATGACTCCAATTAGCAGTAGGTGAAAATCTTTGAAATAAGAAGATGCCACCTGAAATTATAATTAAACCCATGATTATTTAGGTCAGTGGGGGGAAATAATATTACACAAAAAAGGCATTATTTCACTGCTCTTAACTTTGACTTTCACCTACATAATCTTTCTACTTTGTTAAGAGAAATGTATATGTTTAACACAAATTTAAATATGTTCTATATTCTTATGCAGAAATAGTAGTGTTAAGGAAAAATATACCAAAAAAAAATAGTACCCAGGATTTTGGGTTTTTAAACAGCTGAATAGCATCAGGCCTTCTATACCTTAATTTCTCCATCTGTAAACTGGGGTTAATCAGTTTATACTCCTATCATAGAATGTCAATGACTGTAATTTGGGAAAGTTCTGAGTTGAGCTTCCAACTCACTAATATCTTTGTTACCATTTGTATTTTAAATGGTTTACCTTCAAAATTATTTATTATAAGGTAAATGCCCTTGAAAGGGATCAACATTTCAATCCATGTTTAGCTAACACCATTCAGATTTAGTAAAGTGTACAGACATTTTGGGCAACCATTTGCAGCAGTATTTACCAAAAAATGCTCTGAAATATGTCAGGTATATAATATTTTTCTCAAAAAAAAAAAAAGATTTTGTGGTCAAATAAGTTTAGAAACCAGAATTTTGAAATACTAGAATATTCCTTCCTCAAAGACTAGAATATTCTTTCCTCTAGGCCTCCTCAAAACCTTTAAATACTAACATATATTGTCACACTCAAAGAGTGAGGTTCCATATAAAACATCCTTTTCAAACTAGTCTAACCATAGAAACCTTATTTTTAAATTTTAAGTAGAGTACCTCATGGGACTGATATTCAGGAAACTGACTTTACAAAATGCTTAGCTAAATTAAATTGCAAGGCTGCCCAGAAAGACAAGAAGTATAAGAGGAATTATCCCTTTTTAAAATATCAGAGGATTCTTGAACAAGATGGTGGCGTAGGTAACAGCTGCACCCTCCGCCTCCGGCAACCACATCAAAATTACAACTAAAATACAGAACCACCATCACTCAGAGCCTCCTAGAATCTGGCTGAACAGAAGCCCTGCAACCAGGGAACCGAAGCAGCACCGAGACGGGGAGGAGGGGCGGAGACGCAGGAGGATCGGGGCTGGATCCTGGGATGCGGCCACGGGCCCACACCCGGTGCCGCGGGTTAAACCCAGGAGGGAATCTCAGCAGTGGAAGTTTCCCGGAGAAGCAAGGGGTCCCAGCCTCACCTCAGACCCCAAGCCCAAGGCTCCAGGGCCAGGAAGAGACATCCCCACAATTCCGGCTGTGAAACCAGCGGGGACTGTCGCTGAGGGTCGCGGAGGCTGCGGGAGCCCCAGCAGCTCCTCTTAAAGGGCCTGTGCATGGACTCACCCGGACGCTCCCTCTGAGCCCAGCGCCGGGCAGCAACTTGAAAGGACCTGTGACACTTGGGGAAAAACTAACCTGCCTGAAGTCGGGGCAAGAGGTGGAGGGGCAGCTTTCTCCCAGGCAGAAGAGCTGGCGGACACCATTGCTCCTTTGGTGAGCCTTCCTCCAATGGAGCCGGTGGGTGGGCACCATATTTGAATCGCCAGCACTTGACTCCCACCTTTGGCCCCGCCCCATGATTCCGGGAGGCCCCGCCCCTCCCCACCTGCAAGCTCATCCAGGTCATTTCCAGCGGCTTTTCTGTGCAAGTGGCCTCTCGAGCCTCATGCTTAGGACTTTCCTAAAATCTCTCAAACAAGTAGCAGCATGCTCCATATGACTTGATTCATGGCCCCAGGCCTGGAACTAGTGGCAGCCTGTATTGGTTCATAGCTTGGCCTCTCCTGGACACCTCCAAGTCCAACACAAGTAACAGCCAAGCTGTGTGCTGCTTAGCTTATGCTGGGTGACCCTGGGCAGAGGCTGACTTTGCACCTCCTGGGAGGCCCTAGAGACCATACACCTGGTGGCCAGACTCAACCATCCTGGATTACAACCCTACCACATTCACAAGTGATACACTCAAGGGGCGCACTTGGTGAACATCAAAGCTCCACTGAAGTAAATCCTGCTCCATAGGGGTGTCTCCAGCACAGCAGCTCTCTAGCTGTAGTTGCAGCTGATCTTCACAGCTGATTGGCCTGGGGGTCAATTCCTCCCGGTGACACCAATGCAACCAAGGCTCAACTGCAACATGACAGTGCACACAGCCCACACAGGGGAGCACCTAGAAGGCCCAACTCAGGTTGGGAAGGTTGAGCCACTGGACCCTACAAGACACCTACTACACAAAGCCACTCTCCAAATTCCAGGAATCATAGCAGCTCTGCCTAATACACAGAAACAAACACCTGGAAGCAAAATGTGAAGGCAAAAAATATTTCACAAAGGAAAGAACAGAAGAAATCTCTGGAAAAGGAACTAAATGAAATAGAGTCTAGCAAGTTACTCAATACAGATTTCAGAATAATGGTTATAAGGATGCTCAAGGATACTAGTAAGACTATTAAGAAAACAAGTGAGACCATCAATGACATAATAAAGTACCAGTTCAGAAATGAAGGCAACATGAACTGAAATGAAGAATAATTTACAGGGAATCAACAGTAGAGTAGAGGACGTTGAGAATCAAATCAGCAATTTGGAATATGAGGAAACAAAAAACACCCAACCAGAAGAGCAAAAAGAAACCAGAAATATAAAAATAGTTTAGGGAGTCTCTGGAACAACTTCAAGCAACCCAAAATTCATATTATTGGGGTTACAGAAGGAGAAGAAAGAGAGCAAGAAATTAAAAACCTATTTGGAAAAATAATGACAGAAAACTTCTCCTACCTGGGGAAAGAAATAAATTTACAAGTCCAGGAAGCACAGAGAGTCCCAAACAAGAGGAACCCAAAGAGGCCTACACCAAGACACATCACAATTAAAATGCCTAAAGTTAAAGACAAAGAGAGAATCTTAAAAGCAACAAAAGAAAAGTAGTTAGTTACCTACAAGGGAGCTCCCATACGACTGTCAGTTGATTTCTCAACAGAAACCTTGCAGGCCAGAAGGGAGTAGCAAGAAATATTCAAAGTGATGAAAAACAAGAACCTACAACCAAGATTACTCTACCCAGCAAAGCTCTTATTTAGAATTGAAGATCATATAAAGAACTTCTCAGACAAGGAAAAGCTAAAGGAGTTCATCACCACCAGACCAGTACTACATGAAATGTTGAAGGGTCTTCTTTAATAAGAAGCTAATGAACAAAAGAATCTGACAAACTAAATAGATCCAGAGACATGGACATATGCAACAGACGATCATATTTCAGAGGGAAGAGGGAAGAGGGGTGGAGGGTGGGAAGAGATTAACCAAAGAAGTTATATGCATATATTCACAACCCATGGACACAGACAATAACTGGGCGAAGGCCTGGGGAGGGGGTGGGAGTGAGGTGAAGGAGATCAACTGGGGGGAAAATGGGACACCTGTAATAATTTCAACAATAAAGATTAAAAATAAATTAATTAAATTTTTTTTAAATGAGGAAATCTGCTGCAGTTTTTAAATTCTTTTAAAAAAATCAAATAATATCTAGTAAAGAATGGAAGAATTGGAACAAAACTATTCTAATATTCTGAAATCATATAGAAGTAAGACAATTTTCATGATGATTTTCCTATTTTAAACTGCACCTGCATTTTTAATATTGCTTACTAAGCTTAGCTTGGTTTAAAAAGAAATAAAAATTGAAAATTACCCTTGCATAGAAGTGGACAAGTGGAAAAGTTAATTTGTCATGCTTTTCAAAGTATATATTTCTCTCTTTACATTTTTTAGTAATTGCACAATAGAAAATAAATAATTATATCAATTTTTTATTATTTTATTTATTAATTACTCTAACGTTGAATAAGCACCTACCATGCACCAAAACTGTTATATAAGCAGGGGTTATAGGTATAAATGAGTGACAATTATCCCTCTTCCTACCTCTTCAATGCTCAAATATAAGTTTTTCTAAATAGATCCTACTATTTTACTGTATTGCAGAGCCTTGTGTGTTTTCTTCTTAGCACATCACATTGTGTAAATACTGTTTGTTTACTTGTTTGTTGTATGTCTTCTCTATTACACTACACATTCTGTTTTGCTAGCTATTGTGTATTGGGCAACTAGCACAGTCCTGCTACAGAGTAGGATCTCAGTAAATAGTATTTGATAAATGAGAGAGGGAGGAAGGGAATCAATGAATAAGGTGTGGTCACTGAGTTCCGAAGGTCCAATTATCTACACTCTGTTCCCAAAAGGCTGTCCTAACTTCTTCAACCCTTAATCTTGGTATAAGTTTTCTTTCAATTTATTAATCTACTAGTACTTTCACAGTTATGAACCATTTTTTCTCCCTGGTTCTATCCCTGCCTCTCTGAATTTTCCTTCTTGGCCTTCTTAGAAATACTTTTCTTCTGCCTTTTTCTTAAATACTGATCTTCTTATGATTTTAATTTCTATCTCTATGTGACTAAAATAATCTCTGGCACATAGTAGGCATTCAATACATATTTGTTGAATGAATGCTGTAGACATCAAAATCTTTATATCCAGACAGGTAAGTCTTCTGAGTCCCACACTGGTATATCCAGTTGGACATTTCCATTTGAACTTCCCACAAATATCTAAAAACTCAACATACCCCTTTTTGTGGTGATTAAGTAGTTCCTCAAGCCAGAAACCTGAAGGTCAGCCATGATTCCCTTTTCACTTTCAATATGTGTCTATTAGTCATCAAATCTTATTATTTCCTGTTCCTTCAAATCTTTTAAATTTGTCTGCTTTTCTCTTTGCACATTACTACCTTCATTAAGCTCCTTATCATTTCTCACTTGATTACTGTATAAACTGTCCTTTTCTAATTCACCCCTTACCATTGTCATATCACTTTTCTAAATTGTGAATCACATTATTAGCCTTCCTATACCCCTTCAGTGGACCCCACGTCTTTAAAGGCCAAATATAATCTTCTCGACATGACTTACAAGA